CTCTGTCTCCACCCGCAAGCGACGCATCCTGCCCTGCAGGCCGTTCACGAAATACAGGGGCCTTAATAATTGGAATAGGGTTTTTGGGCGCGATATACTATAAGTATAATTAAGAACACCCCCCCAAAAAGTATAGGTTATTATTAAACCCTAAACCTTGAACCTTAAACCCCTAAACCCTAAACCCTTATTAAGGCCCCTATATTACTCCATGCGGGACCGCGCCCGAGCGTCCACCTTCTCCCCGAGTTCCCGCAGCCGAACACCCAGAGCTCCATCCTCGCGATGCTCTGGATCTGTGAATCAAGGTCTTGGTCTAGGGTTTAGGGTTTAGGGTTTAGGGTTTAGGGTTTAGGGTTTAGGGTTTAGGGTTTAGGCTTTAGGATCTTGGGTTTAGGGTTTAGGGTACGCTCTGGATCCATGGCGCGCCCTTCCTCCGCCTGTCGGACAGGCACGGGGTTCAGCTCCACCTCCAGGTCCAGGAAACCCATACAAAAAGGGGCTCGGATGTAAACGAAATGCAGGAGCCTTAACAAATAAACACAGGGCATTCTAAGAACTTGTAAGATTTTATGGGGCTTATGGGGGCTTAAATCCTTATGTCGAGCTGTCGTAATATTGAGGGTACCTGATCTAGAGCTCTCTTACAGCAGGACTCTACTATACAGGGGGTCCCGCTGGAGAATGTCCCGGCCTGATTCCCACTACATAGCACTGCAGCGTGAATTTCATAGCCGATAGTCCAGCAAATTGCAGTTCGTGACGGTGCATAGCTTCCGCAAGTGGTTTGTAAAGAAGTCATTGTGGGAAATGATTGCATTGCGGTTGGCTAACTGGGAGCCAGCTTGAGCTGGACTATGGCACCACAAATTGACACTGCGACGGGCCGATAGCTCGAAGCGCATAGCTTGAGGAGCGAAGTCTTCCCTTCCCCCCGCGCCCCCTTCCCCCTTCCTCCTAGACTCCTGACACAAGTGAGCCTTGGGGCACCCTCCGCACCGAGTATGTATTACATGTTGAAAACGCACTCCGCTACCCTGTAGCTCAACAGTTTCGGCCCGGGGTGCCTCTTCGTGACCGGTTTGACTAGCAAATCTTGCCTGACTTGTTGCTGTGTGGCTTCAAGAAGACGGTCCAGCTCCCAGCTATGCCCGTCAGTACCACAGATTTTGTGCTTTAGTCGCCTTTCCGCGAGCTTCGCCAGGATTAAAGTTTCGTCGCACTTGCCCAAGGGATCATGCAGAGGACATGGAATGCCAAAAAGTGCATTGTACGTGGCCTGGCTAGTCGAGGACTTAATCTTATACTGCGGTGGAGGAATCTAAAGGGAAAAAGGTTTGGCCAAGTGCTGAAGACCAACATGCGAGAGTACCAGGAACCTTCGTCCTGCCGCAGTGTAATGACAACAACAAGAAGACCAACCATAGTAAAAGCTGGATCAATAGTATCAAAAACAATAGTTCTAGCAGTCATCGGAATAACGCTGGCAATGGAAACGGCAGGTACAACTATATTATGATAAGTCCGGATAGCTTTGCCTCGCCTCCTCCCTCGCATCCGACTTTCTATCACTATTGCAACCAGCGTCAGCTGTTTAGTCGTCGCAAGATCATAGCTTTATTCCCACTAATTAAGGGGGCGATGATCAAAATCGTACAGCGGCTCAGTGTTCAGATAGTTCGAGTATAAATGATCAGAGGCAGGGTAGTTCTCGAAATTACGGTCCCGTTTCAGGTCCCCAATATAGGACGGCACCCTTATATCAAGGACCCTAAAAGAGACCCTAATTTAGTGAACTACCCGGCTGGCGGTTGTTGAGCAACCTTTGCTGGAGTCTAAGTAACTCCTGATTCAAATTACCGTGCCGTAAGGAGGAATACAGACTTTCTGCACCACGTACTCTGGTACTTTAGACTTTGCGAAGCCCCTTCAGCCTAACTCTAGTACTCCCGGAAACGAAACGGCTTCCAAAAAAATGGGTTTCAGGTGTTGCGAAACTGGATCCGAAAGCGGGTTACGGCTCCAGATATGGGCCCAAAAAGGGGTCCGAAAATGGCTCGGGAGGGGAATGCACCAAATGGATCCAAAATGGATCCTGTGAAAACCCAGCCTCCCAGACATGTGTTGTCGGGGCCTTAATAGTAAGAATAGGTTTTAGGGGTATTTACCATAAGCATAATCAGGAACCCCCCCCAACATAGTATTGGCAATGATTTAGGCCTCCATATTGCTTCATTTGGCTATGTGTTTTCACGAACTAGCCTCGCGGTCCCATTTATGCAACAACTTCTTTTGCATTTTCCAACTTGCTTTTGCAAAGCTAGCCTCACGGACCCATTTTAGGACTGCTTTATTTTGCATGTCCTTGCTCTTTGCACTTTTGCACAACTTGGCTTCACAGAGCCATTTCGGACATAGTACATTTTTTGCAGAATTTGGCTGATAGGGGGCTTGGACTAAATGTCGTAACACAAACAAGCCTTTTTGAAAGCTTCAAGATAACGGAAGAGACCGCTACACTGGGAAACTATAAGGCTTGCTGTAAAGGTTACTAAGGGGTTCTGTAAAGGTTTCCTACATTGGATTTGTAATTGTAAGGCTTATCGGCCCCGACGGTGGTGATGCTTGTGATTCGGCAGCCATCACGATGTCGCCGCTGATGATGATGTAGACTCACGATGACTCACCCAATTTCTGCAAGAACCAGCCTCAGCATTCTAGCCAGAAGCCTTTTGGTTGAGGGGGCGTATGAACCAGGGATCTATTAATATGGGTAGCTTTTTGAAATAGGGTCTCTTCTAGGGTCCTTCTCGTAAGGGGCTGTACTATTTTGGGGATCTACAATTTAATTTAGAGAACTACCCAAAAGATGCTGCTGGTGCTGCAAAGAAGAAAGCCTAAGCCAAACCCCAAACCCCAAACCCTAAAACCCTAAAACCCTAAAGCCCTACCTAAGCCGTGAACCTGGACCATGATAATGGGGCACTTAGCGGCTCAGGGGACTAAGCACGCGGGCTATGAGCGGAGTTAGAGGCCTCAATGACTAGGCTAGTGGCTACTTACTTGGAGGTTCCTGGGTAGCAATAAGTGGGGTTATCATAATAGGTAAGTATAGTTATAACCCATATTAGGGGACTTATAACCCACTTATAACTACCCATGAACCTCCAAGCATTGTAAAGCATACCCTAACAACCCTATTTTCAATCATTAAGACACCTCTACTAAGTTTCTATTCGCACTCGTCCTGAACCAGCGGCCCTCCGCCGCACCAAAGAATGGAGACATCTCTGCGCAGTGCCACTTCCTGCCAAGCCAGCCGGAGAAATCGTAAACATGTCGTGGAATTCTTGTTATACCTCCCCGAACGCGAGGGAAAATACAAGACCAGGAAGGAGGACACGAGAAGTTGAACTGTCGGGTACTGGAGAAAATATCAGTACATGGGTAGTTCTCCAAATTAGGGTCCCTGTTTGGGTCCCCAATATTGTACGGCACCCTTATAAAAAGGACCCCGAAAAGGACCCTAATTTAGAGAACTACCCACAATTAGAATAGGTATATTGTACGATAAATATAATCAGGAGCCCTCACAATATCATGGGTAATTCCCCTATATTGCCCCTCTTGTCGTGAGCTCAATCACGAACCGTCCAAAACCCTAGACACCGTCTAAAAGCCCTATGTGGAACGCTTACAGAAGTGCTCTTTGGTTTAGATCTTATACTTGGGGATTCATGGGTAGTTATAAGTGGGGTTATAAGTCCCTAATATGGTATACACTATACTTACCGTACTTATAACCCCCATTATAGCTACCCATGAACCTCCAAGTAGAACCCTGTGCGGAAAGGAGCGCTCCCTTCTGAGCTGAGCAAGGTACGATGATCTTGGCAGCTGGTGTGCGCGGTAGGGTTCTATCAGGATTCTATGGGGTTCTATAAGACTTCAAAGGTTGCTTGAAGGATAAAGGGGGCTTAGTAAGTAACTTCTAGATAGGGTCATGTGTACAGGACCTGTCAGCCTCAACACATAGGTTTTTGTTCTTTCGCCGCAGCCCCTGAACTCTCAACCGTCAACCTAGAAACATAGACCCAACACAGGGTTCTCGTTAAGCTTCTTAGCTTGAGATTACGAGACTAAGGATCTGCAGTAAATAAGCTGGTTGCTTACTATGGTGACTAGTGACTTACGCTAAGCTCCTTTACACGAACCCAGCACATCTAGAACCCAACCCCAAACTCCTAAGCTTCAAACCCTACGATCTACTGGACCAAACCTCGTATTGCTACTATATCTTTCTTATATCTTCCCATTATAGTACTATTTTAGCATGTATGATTGTACTCGTGTTTTACTACCATTATACATACCATTATATTAAGATTGCTCTTATACCATGTATTACTACATTAACATTCTATTACCATGATACCATCATTATATTGAGATTAAGGGCTCAGGAACTCCGGTGCCTCCAAGTGGAAAGTGTCGGGGTCTGCGGACCACTCCTCCGGGGGCGGGGGGGGGGGCAAGTTTCCGGAGAGACGGAGAGCCACGGTTTAGGGTTTAGGGTTCAGGGTTTTTTAGGGTTTAGGGTCTAGGGTTCTAGGGCTTTCAGGTTTTAGGGGGTCAAGGTTTTGGGGTTTTAGGGTTCTAGGGTTTTCAGGTTTTAGGGGGTCAAGGTTTTGGGGTTTTAGGGTTTTTTAGGGTTTGAGGGTTCAGGGTTTTTAGGTTTTAGGGGGGTCAGGGTTTTGGGGTTTTGGGGTTTAAGGGTTCAGGGCTTAGGACTAGACATTCCAACGGTTCCCATGAACAGCTGAGGAGTGAGCTTCTAGAACCCTCCGCCAAATTGGCCCAATGCTTCTTCTCAGGGCCTGAGTACCCTGACCCCAAAAAGGTTAGCCTTTTAAGCCGAGGCGGAAGAAGTGTCCCGGCACGGTTTGTTGCTGGCAGCTGCAACATGACAGTTGCTCAAGACGCAACTGCCGATGCGCCACATGCGTGCGCAGTGCCAAGGCCCGCTTCGGCCCGTCAAGGCGTGCCGTGCCGTTTGGCGCGGCGACCCCTTGCATGCCCACGACCTCTCCACCCATCGCCCTGGCACTCATGCCCTCCGCCCCAAACTCCGGGCATTCGCGTTTCGACTTCGACTTCGAGATCGCCGGGATCGAGCCCTGCTCTCACTCTTTCTTGCTTTGTTGCTTCATTGCCATGCACCTCGCCAGGTCTCAGCAGGGCAAGCGCCAGTGTCTCGTCCCAGTTGCCCAAACTATGCGGGGCCTTCTTGGCCACCATCCACTTGGCCAGGAAGAGCTCCATGGCTTCGCTATCATTAACACATGTAGGAGTTTCCGAAAATAAGGTACCTTATTTTGGGGTCCTTATAATACAAATCCTTTTATTTAGGGTACTATATTAGGGTCCCCTATTTTCGGAAATCCCCATATGCGCATCAGTGCCAAGCCCAAAAAGGGGAGGTCGCCCCGTTTACATGATAATGCCGTCGTAGTGGCCTGTAGGCAGAGAGGGAGGCACGATCCAGTCTACAATGGAAGGCGCCGTGCCGAGTGTGGGTCATCGTCTCAGACGCCAGGTGCTTTCGTAGGGGCTTGAGCTTGAGTTCGGGGCTTTTCCAGAATCCTGCTCCCTACTGGTTCTACCCCGAGACTCGCAGAAGCCAGTCTGTGGAATTTCCGACCCAGCAACAATGCCACATACCGAGTTGCTACAGGGAATGGTTTAGGTCCCTGACGAACCTTGACCCACGACGTTGGAATTCTTTACGGACGCACAGCAGTCTTATTTTGCTAACAGTAGCCAGTTTACCTTGGCTTGGGGCTGAGTACCCTAACCCAAAAAAGGTTATCCTTTTGAACTCTAATGGGGTTCTATGAGCTCAAAAGGTTAAAGGTTACGTACTCAGTCCCTAGTCTACCCTAACCCTAATGTAGAGGCCTTAATACCTTAATAATTGGAATAGAGTTTTGGGGCATATTATACTATAATGATAATGAGGAGCCCCCCAAATAATATAGTTGATTATTAAGGCCCCTATATTAAGCCCTAAGCGCGTTTCCCTAGGCTGCTGCTTGCCTGCCCGTTTCTGCTGTCATCAGAGTCCCTTCTCGGCTCTTCCATGCGAGCCGACATGACATGAGAACCGAAGCCAGGATCTCAAAACTCTAAACTCTAAACCCTACTTGGAGCTTCATGGGTAATGACAATTAGGATTATATAAGTCCCTTAATATAGGTTATAACTACAGTTACCTTAATTATGACCCTACTTCTAACTACCCATGAACCTCCAAGGAAGGCACAGAAAGATCACCGACTCGGCCCCTCCATCTTCAGCAGGGGGGATGCCTCAAACTGTCAAGGCATCCGCCTTCTGATTGAAGGGTTGGGTGGTGTGGAAACTTCATGGCAACCTAGGTTTTTTTTGAACTCCTTTTTCCGACTGCAAGACTCGTCCCCAGACGAAAAGTCCACTAGGGACGTAGTGTTTAGGGTTTAGGTTTAAAGTTTAGGCTTTGAGCTGAAGGGCTTTAATCAAGCAACTTCTCCGCGTCTTAGCCCAAAGTACAGGCCCTGAACCTCTGAATCCGATATTATATAAGCCCTTTAACACTAAAACCGCTAAGCCCTAAAAACGGAATGCGAAAATCCTAAAACCCACGGGACCCGCACCCTGGAACCCTCAAATCCTAAACCTGCAAACTCCAAACCATTAAACGCCGAGCCCCTTGATTAGGTTGGCCCGCTGTCCTCTCAAGCCCAACACCTAAACTGACCGAAACCCTAAAGCCTAAACCTAATCCCAAAACCTAAACCCTAAACTTCAAGCCCTAAACCCTAAACCCTACACTCTAAACCCTAAACCAAAAAGCCTACCTAGTTGAACTATGATCCTCTTGGGTCGGTCCTTGAGAGGACGTTGCCATGGAAGCCGACCATGCAGCTCGAACTGCGAGGTGCGGGAAGTTGCGGACTTGGTCGGGTTTTCTATAAGGAGGGCTTAGGGTTTAGGTTTAGGGTTTAGGGTTAGGGTTTAGGGTGTAGGGTTTAGGGTTTAGGATTTGAGGTTCCATGAGGGCTTTGTACGGGCGTTTTTGAAGTTCGATGAGAGTGTTGTCAGTGTTTAAGTGGGTTCTGTACGGGGTTTGTACCTAGGACCAGGAGTTTTGCCGAGCTCCATGAGAGCTGTGTAGCTTTGTGGTGTAGGGTTTACGGTTCCTGTTAAGGAACCTGATATAAAAGTTAACGTAGCAGGGACGCGTGGTGAGATCATATGCGTGCCTTACTGTCGCAACTGACCCAAAATCCTAATTAGACTCCCTGACCCTAAACCCTAAACCCTAAACCCTAAACCCAAAGCTCTAAACCCTAAACCCTACACCCTAAACCCTAAACCCTTCAGATTGCCTGAACAATCGGGACAGGCTTCAGGCCGCCTCTCGATCGGATTGGCTGTCAAGCTTGCGGTGCAGCTGCTGCGACACCATGGTTAAAGGAAACTACAGGTGGGGAGTTTAGGGTATATAGGGCTTCTATAAGGCTTCTAGAAGGTATATAGACCTTAAACCCTAAACCCTAAACCCTAAACCCTAAACCCCTAAACCCTAAACCCTAAACCCTACCCACCTGAATATGCCCTAGACATGGGCACTCGCGAGACGAAGTGTCTACTGCATACCTGCGTCCCTCTTCGCTTGCGCAAGACCTCCTCGACGTTCTGCTGCGTGTGTGCACTGTGGTCCTTGCCCAACAAGGGTGTTCTCGGGTGGCGAAGTTGTACTCTAGGCCGCAGATGAAGTAAGCCCAGGAACAGGTGACAAAACATCCGCAGCGTGCTTGCATTGTCATGCGCATAGCTCAGAGAAGTTACGCCGGAGTCTGTCAGCCTGCCCAACCTGCCGTTCCAATTGGAGACATGGGGCGTGAGCGTTGTTTACGGAATGGTCCATGGCTCCAACCCTAACCAAGAGGCTTCTTTGGCAGTGTGTAAACTCCAGAGCCGCGAATCCCCCTCAACTGGCTCACTTTTAGCCGTGTCCGAATGTAGGTCGAAAGTCATTTGAGCCGAGCATCTTGGCATTATGGCATCATCAGCATCAGAATACAGTTGAACACCCCCCCAAACACCCGACCTACATTCGGACACGGCTAAAAGTGAGCCAGTCAAACCCTGAGGCCGAAACTCCTAGTCCCTAAGCCCCAGACCCCTGAACACTAAACCCTAAACCCCTGAAACCCGAAGCCCCAGACCCCTAAACCGTAAACCAAAAACCTCTGAACCCTAAGCCCTCAGCCCCAGACCCCTAAACCCTAAACCCTGAGCCCCTGAACCCTGAACCCTGAATTCCTGCAATCAGGTAGGTGCAGGGCCTGGGATGCTGGGTTTCAAGGAGCTCAGAGATACCAGACGAGGGTAGAGTTTAGGGGTGTAGGGTTTGGGGTTTAGGGTTTAGGGTCTAGGGTGTAGGATGGTTTAGGGTTTAGGGTCTAGGGTGTAGGATGGTTTAGGGTTTAGGGTCTAGGGTGTAGGATGGTTCAGGGTTTAGGGTTTAGGGTCTAGGGTGTAGGATGGTTTAGGGTTTAGGGTCTAGGGTTTAGGGGTTTAGGGGTTTAGGGGTGTAGGGTTTGGGGTTTAGGGTTTAGGATCTCGGTGTAGGATGGTTTAGGGGTTTAGGGTTTAGGGTGGAGCTTAGGAAGTGAAGCTTAGGGGTCGGAGGCTTTGGGCTAGGGTATATAGTTCTCTAAATTGGGTCCCTTTATATAGTCCGGCACCCTTATAAAAAGGTACCCTAGAAGGGACCCTAATTTAGAGAACTACCCGTATAGGGTTTAGGACTTGGTGCTTGGAGTTTGGTCGTGAGGTTTGTTTTGTAGGGTTTAGGGTTGAAGGTTTGGGGCTAAAGGCCCAAGTCTACTTTTGAGTGCTTGGTTGAACTGAACTTCTAAGCGATTGGCGAGTTGAAAAGGTTGGAGGCGAAACTTTAAACGCCCTAATCCTTCATCCCAGACCCTATAAGCCCCTAAATCCTATAAACCCAATGCGAACTAAACCCTAAACCCTAATTCCTAAACCCTAAATCCTATCAACCCAAAGCAGATCTGTAAAATCTGAACCCAAGCCGTGTAATCCCGAAGCCCCTAAACCCTCAAAGTCCCGAACCCAAACCCGTAAACCCCTCAGCCCTGAAACCGCAAAGCCATGAAACCTACATCTCAAGTGCCTTTAACCCCAAAAACCAAAAGCCCCCAAACCTCAGAACCTAAACTCCACAGAAACCCTTCCAGGAACCCTCAACCCTGCAAACCCTAAACCCTAAACCCTAAACCCTAAACCCTAAACCTTAAACCCACACTCCGCGCCCGCTTTTGAAACCCACTGCCGGCCTCAGGGGCGAGGGATTGCCGGCGCCACCGATTGGCAGATTCAGGCCTGGGAAATTTTACAGAGTTAGGGCTTTAGGGCTTTAGGGTTTAGGGTTTAGGGTTTAGGGTTTAGGGTTTAGGGTTTAGGCTTTAGGGCTTTAGGGTTTAGGGTTTAGGGAGTTGGGGCTGTAGGGCTTTTGGGTTTAGGGTTTAGGGTTTAGGGTTTAGGCTTTAGGGTTTAGGGTTTAGGGTTTAGGGAGTTGGGGCTGTAGGGCTTTTGGGTTTAGGGCTTTCGGGTGTTAGGGCTTTAGGGTTTGAGGGTTTAGGGCTTCCTATAGGGTGTTAGAGTTTAGGGTTTAGGGAGTTAGGCCTTTAGGGTTTTAGGGTTTAGGGCTTAGGGTGTTGGAGTTTAGGGTTTGGGGTGAGGGTTTTTGGGGGGGTTGATTTAGGGTGCCTTGTTCTTTGTGTTGAGGGTTTGGGGTTTGGGGTGAATGTAAGGACATCCCCCTAAACCCTAAACTTCACTAAACCCTCAACCCTAACCCTAATACCCTAAACCCTAAACCCTAAACCCTAAACCCTAAACCCTAATACCCTAGACCCTAAACCCTAAAACCCTAAAGACCTAACTACCAAAACCCTAAACCCTAAGCCCGAAACCCTAAACCCTAAACCCTAAAAGTGAAACCCTGGATCCCTAGACCGGAAGCCTCAAGTCGAATCCAGCCTTTCAGTCGTCAACTTGCGGGAGGTTTTGGATTCTTGGACCAAAAACCCAAAACCCCAAACCCTAGAACCCTAAAGCCCTAAACCCTAAAACCTGGTAGGGTTTTCTTGCGTTTAGGGCTCGTAGGGTTCAGGGCTGAGGGCTGAGATGCTGTTTTTTTTTTGGAACGGGGGGTGTTTGGTTGCCCAAAGAAGAAAACTTCGCGGCTTGGA